CCCCAATTTCGCTCGCCGGGACTGAGCGGAAAAACGCAGTGGGAATAGGCCATTAGTTCTCCCGTTGTACAGTGACTCATTGACAAACGCGGCCGTGTTCCTGTTCCTTGTTATATCTTTTTCATCCTCTCGTCGCCTTTCCTTCCTTGGACTCATTTGATAAGCGACGAATGTACACCATCAGACGTTTTTACGATCGTTGAGAACTCGTCCGAGGGTTGACTAAAATATATACCGCACACTTCGAGAACATTGCGTCGTAATCTTAGCGAATTTCACGCGCAGATCCGTAAAACGCAGCGGCAAAATTCCTTCAAATTTGAACGACCGTGAACAATTTATGCGTGACAATTTGCCGGCTGGTTTTCAAAGTTTTATGGACCGATTTGGTTTTATTAATGCTGCGAAGGTGTTCTACGCGAATATTATTCAACGAAGTTTCCTGGTGGCGAGATATCAACTTTTTTTTCGAAAAATCTATTGATACGAGAATGGGGTGATACAGAGAGGGAAGCTTTTTGAAAACCAGTGGAATACGGTTGCGTTACATAGACAATACGATCGCGTCAAAGGGATTGGAATATAAAAGCGAGGCGTAATACCGGTCCGGTTTGATTGAAAAATGAAATATACACAAAAGGAACAGACGGGAATCACATGGATTATGTATTTGATCGGCCCGAGGAAATAAACAGTTAAGCGTCACGTCGATATTAAAACGTTTGTCATCAGGGCACGTGGATTTCCTGGGCCGATTCGTGTATATAATTTCTACGATTCGTTCCTCTTTCCACCGACGCTAACGGCACGATAGTAGCGTTCCCCTGTATTTGTGTAATTCATTTTGCAACGGTACATGCATAGCAAATCGCGGGGATTTATGGGACACGGCGAGCGTAAGCAGGCCGCGTTAAATTCTCATGTTAATAATTCCGCGCACGATCGTCGAACGCTACTGCAATGGAATGTGTTAAATTTCAACGGTTGTCCGGCCTGAAATTACGAGGACTTAAGCTCGGATGGCTCCGTCTACACCTGTGCGCGACCACTAATGTCGATCGGTTCCCTTTTCGGATGAATACCGAATGATAGATCAGTAGAAAATATTACATTAAACAAATAACACACGGTAGTTGATTTAATATGAATGAACTTTTCACAATTCAAGTCTACACGTCAACGCGTGAATTTCTATGTACGAACGATGTAAATATTACTTTTATATTCAAACAGTTATAAATTATTTCACTTCAATAATACATTATTTGTACAAAAGGTACAGAACAATATTCGTAGTGGTCGATTGCACCAAATCTATCACAAAATTCAATTCATAGGAGAACGAATTTCTCGTTTAAAGTCTGCTAAAGTTTATCTCACCGTGTGTATTTTCTTTTCCAGCCCACCAAATTGAACGTGTACAAAAACGATGCGGAAAGCTGGGACTACACGACGCCGACGTTGGGTGAGTTTCTACCCTTGGCACTTATTTCTTACCCCTTTCTATTTATATCCATCTTCACAAGTTTGTTCTTTTTTATTACATGTATTTCCGTTGTTCGCTCGTTTGAGAATGCGCGTTCTTGCTGGGCCGTTCTCAAGCGTTTTTTTTTTTAATCATTGGTGTCACGTAGCAGTGGCTGCTGCGTTTTACAATGCGTACACATGAATTTCTTTCACCGGACCGGAATCGTTCCTTCTTCCTTCTTTCTCAGCATCGGCGGGGAACCGAGAATTGCTTCCAATTTTCCGGTATGGGAATGCCGAGTCTCTCTCTCTCTCTCTCTCTCTCTCCTTTTGTTTTCTTAGCGCCTTTGCGCGCGCACCTCGCGTTCACAACCACCAGCACTGGGGAGACGTTTAATTGGATAAAGCGTAGTCCCGGATGCTTGAAGGGTTTCCGTAAAATGCATCCCTCGTTAAGTTCACGTGCATTCTCGCCACTCGACGACGGGAGACTGCGATCCAACCGCGACGAGAATTGTTCAATAATTTGGGAAAGTAAAATTAATCCACGTTCATGTTTAAATCATTAATTATCTATTTTATTTATTATAAAATCTCATGGATTTTAATCTTCTTTACAGTACAATATAAAGTACAATATAATATATTTTTTTATATCAATTGTTCTATTTGCAGTTAAATAAAACTAGTATGATTTTTACGTAATGATCATAATAGGGAATGCATTCGTGATTTCATGTTACTTAGAAAGTATTACTTGTCATTAAGGAAATTGTACAATTATTCCTTAATAAAACTAGTAAACGGAAAATCTTTTCTTTGGCCATTACGGGATTAAATTAGAAAACGTGTTGTGAACGCTGATCGAGATTCTCCCAATACTATTTGAAGATTCCGTAAAGCAGCTCACGAAGAAATTGGTTAAACAGTCGAATGACGGGTTCAATTTCAGCTACACGCGATTCCGGTGAATTTCTTACTTTTTCGAAGCACTTGGTTGTTTTGCTCGCTTTTTCTCTTCGTCCCTAGTCATCACGCGCTCTCGAGTTGACATTAGATCACGAAATACGCGTACAGAATACAAAACGAGTATCAATGATGTTAAGTTGTAATACTCCGCCTCGATTTTTCCGTTTTCCAATATCGTTTAACATCATCCCGGAAGCTATAAATACCAATATCGTATGGACTTTTCGATGAACATTCAAATCACACTACGATGCTACGTGGTTCAATTTCCTTTTCGAATAAAATTGCCAAGATATTGCAAATCATAATTTTTATAAAAATCATAATGTAACTTTTAGAAATTTGACACTTGTTTCCTTATGCTTTTTTCGCTTAATAAGCAAAACAAAAAAAGTGCCTTCAAAACGAAGTACAGGGTGTTTGCGAAATCGTGGAACAACCGGCAAAGGGATGATTCCTCACATAAAATCTAGACGAAAACAAGGAATATAGTTTTCTCATACGGGGCGTCATTTTCGAGAAAATCGATTTTGACCTCTGTATAGTTCAAATTGACAATGAGAATCATAAATGCAATCATAGATTTCATAATCCAATAGATTCATTTATTCCACTTCATGTTTCATTAATTTTATTTTCATATTTAGCTATGCGAAACGTTACAAATGCAAAGATGATCAATTTTTCTATCATTTGACATTCCCTTAACTTATTGCAAAACACATGAACAAGGAACGATTCCACGTCCTACAACACGACTCATTCTCGTCACATTGCCAGGCATAATCGATTCATATACCCGTGTAAAACTAGGCAACAACGATCAAATGAATCGGAATCGGGCGTGCTGCGTCTTTCTGTACAGGAAATCGATCCTGGTACGGTATGATCTGATCGCCGGAAACGGCGAGAGCAGCGCGGTTCGTGGAAAAGTGAAGAGGCGCGTCGTATCGACGGGCTTGTTGTCCGATCCATTGTGGCTGAACGATATAAAGGCACTCGTTAGACCAGAAGAACCGATATTTTTCCGTTTTAAATCCCCAATTATTCGATGGCAATTTATTTCACGCGCCTGTTCTCCTCTCGCGCGAATTGACGTTCCCTCCAGCCGCTCCGCCAATGTCATGTCGCTGTTTCGATTACGCATCCGGTTGAGTTATCGTTCCGAGCGTTCTTCGAACTGGATTCATTTTTTTTCTTATTTGCAGTTAAATAAAACTAGTATGATTTTTACGTAATGATCATAATAGGGAATGCATTCGTGATTTCATGTTACTTAGAAAGTATTACTTGTCATTAAGGAAATTGTACAATTATTCCTTAATAAAACTAGTAAACGGAAAATCTTTTCTTTGGCCATTACGGGATTAAATTAGAAAACGTGTTGTGAACGCTGATCGAGATTCTCCCAATACTATTTGAAGATTCCGTAAAGCAGCTCACGAAGAAATTGGTTAAACAGTCGAATGACGGGTTCAATTTCAGCTACACGCGATTCCGGTGAATTTCTTACTTTTTCGAAGCACTTGGTTGTTTTGCTCGCTTTTTCTCTTCGTCCCTAGTCATCACGCGCTCTCGAGTTGACATTAGATCACGAAATACGCGTACAGAATACAAAACGAGTATCAATGATGTTAAGTTGTAATACTCCGCCTCGATTTTTCCGTTTTCCAATATCGTTTAACATCATCCCGGAAGCTATAAATACCAATATCGTATGGACTTTTCGATGAACATTCAAATCACACTACGATGCTACGTGGTTCAATTTCCTTTTCGAATAAAATTGCCAAGATATTGCAAATCATAATTTTTATAAAAATCATAATGTAACTTTTAGAAATTTGACACTTGTTTCCTTATGCTTTTTTCGCTTAATAAGCAAAACAAAAAAAGTGCCTTCAAAACGAAGTACAGGGTGTTTGCGAAATCGTGGTACAACCGGCAAGGGGATGATTCCTCACATAAAATCTAGACGAAAACAAGGAATATAGTTTTCTCATACGGGGCGTCATTTTCGAGAAAATCGATTTTGACCTCTGTATAGTTCAAATTGACAATGAGAATCATAAATGCAATCATAGATTTCATAATCCAATAGATTCATTTATTCCACTTCATGTTTCATTAATTTTATTTTCATATTTAGCTATGCGAAACGTTACAAATGCAAAGATGATCAATTTTTCTATCATTTGACATTCCCTTAACTTATTGCAAAACACATGAACAAGGAACGATTCCACGTCCTACAACACGACTCATTCTCGTCACATTGCCAGGCATAATCGATTCATATACCCGTGTAAAACTAGGCAACAACGATCAAATGAATCGGAATCGGGCGTGCTGCGTCTTTCTGTACAGGAAATCGATCCTGGTACGGTATGATCTGATCGCCGGAAACGGCGAGAGCAGCGCGGTTCGTGGAAAAGTGAAGAGGCGCGTCGTATCGACGGGCTTGTTGTCCGATCCATTGTGGCTGAACGATATAAAGGCACTCGTTAGACCAGAAGAACCGATATTTTTCCGTTTTAAATCCCCAATTATTCGATGGCAATTTATTTCACGCGCCTGTTCTCCTCTCGCGCGAATTGACGTTCCCTCCAGCCGCTCCGCCAATGTCATGTCGCTGTTTCGATTACGCATCCGGTTGAGTTATCGTTCCGAGCGTTCTTCGAACTGGATTCATTTTTTTTCGGTTAGCGCGAATCCACCAAACGAAGTTTCGCACCACTTTTCATCAATTGCGCCAATTATCACCGGCTGCAATTTGACAGTGTCGTAAATTCAGAGCAAAAATGTTATAGCCATCAGAAGAGAGAATTTGTTCGTTCAGATAATTTTAAGGAATAACGTCGCACGCTTTAAATCTCTCTTAAATGTTTGTAGCTTCCTCGATTCTGTTTATTCATCGAGTTTCAAGCGGGCAGGTACCTTGAATTATAATTGATTCAGAGGAATTTGGTTTGCTCGTGCCACCGTAATTTAAACGTTGCTTTAATTGTTCGAAGTTCCGCAATCAGGCTAACGAAGTCCCCCACGAACTAGGTAGTACTCGTAAGTTGAACGAAGCTTTAGAGTAAAATGATTACAAGCCCGAGCTAATTACGGTAATTTATAAAAAAAGAAATCACAGAAGTTTTAGATTTAGACTTTATCCCCCGATTATTAATGAAGCTCGTTCGGTGCGACGAAACCTATTTCAATTACGATAATCAGCTCCTCGTAGCTGACGATTTTGGCACGGGAAGTATGCAAAGAGTGGCTCGTTAATTTTCCACAAAAAGGCTTCCAGGAACATTGAAGTGTCGAAAGAGAGATTAACAAGATTCCCGTGTCGACGTCTTCAATCACAAGATTGATCATTTCAACGAATTCCGATAATCGTTTAAGCCTTGACTAACACTCCTCAACTTCCCATTTATTCAGATCATCAGCAACATTCTTTTAATCCACTAATATAGAAATCGAATCTTAACTTGTAGAGATTGGAGATCTTTTATATTCACAATGCCCGTCATTGCAACGTAACATTTGCATTGTATTTTCACTCTATTTTCTTTGAAGTATCATGGTTCACTTCCACCATTTTAATTGAAACATGAATTCAGAACTTCTCATCTGCATACTGTGTATTAAACAGATATATTCATAAGAAGGAGGTTATTTCTAAACGTGATTTAAAAACACATTCATATGGATGTTATGCAAATTTTAATGGTGCAATTGTTTCATCACTTTATGTCCTTAATCAAATCGATGTTTCTCAATCAATTAAACACAATTTAGTAATGTTACTTGAAAATACTCAATTGATCAGACGAAAATAATTTTCAGTGTCATAGAATATTCAAGTAATCACACGTAGTCATGCAAATAGAGAAAACTGATATTCGTCAAGCAGTTAGTGTCACGCGTGTAAACATGCTTCAACTCCTGTTCGTTCTCGATTATGTGCCAATAATACACGATCGGCAGATCGATGGAGAGCCGCGCAAGCTCGATTTACTCGAACAGTATATTATT